GCTGAGCACATTATTGACCTGCTGAGGCCTTAGTTTCCCCACCTGGATCATGAGGTCCATCGTGCTTGTTAGGAGGATTAAATGTGATAGTGTGTGCCAAGCACTCGGCACAGTGTCTGGCCATAGCAAGTGTTCAGTGATCCCCAGCTGCAGTTTGTGTAGATACTGCTGTGACGAGGAGCCTCCACGGGGGTGGGGGACACCAGGTGGATGGCCTGGGGCACATGTCTGAATCAGTGTCGAGCCACAGACCCACAGAAAGAGCCCTTTATTTCCGAAATCCTTTTCGCCCATTTGTGAGTATGGGTGGCATTTGAACGCTCATGAAACAGAGAGCTGAATTCCTCTTTTGTGTTTGTTTAGGTGTCAGTTCCCCAAGCCCCTCTAGTTAGTAAGCATGTGTTCATCGAGCACCTGCTATGGGCCAGGTGCTGCCCTCGGCCCTGGGGTTAGGACGAAGATGGGATCCCTGCTCTCATGGAGCAGGGGGGCCGAGAGGGTCACGGTGACAGCCTGACCCAGCCGTGCCTCTGTGTAAACTGCTTTGACGACTGTTTGTCAGAGATGTTTGTGAATATACCAGTGTGCTTCTGGCCTGATGTTACAATCTCATTTAAATTCAATCGGGAGAAATTTGGGACTTGCATTTTATGTTTGAAACATGTACTTACAGAGCACTTTTTATGTCCCGGCCACCATTCTAAGCACTTCATAACTCTGATTTAATGCTCATAGCAAACTCTGAGGGAGGAGCTGTCTGTCCTTTTTGTTTAAGGCTTAGAGACTTGGAGGGATGGCAGGGGCTAAGTCACTTGCCTAAGGTCACACAGCACAGCCAGGATCTGACGCAAGTGGTGTGGCTGCAGAGCCGATGGTCTTAACTGGTCTGCTGACAGTTATTTCTGTCTATGCCAGGAATCATGCTAATGCTTGATTTGCAGGAAAAAAAAGTGAAGTTGTAGAGGAAATCAAGCTTTGAATCGTGTTTGTGTTTGAATTTCTTTTTAAAGGCCGATACTCCCAACCACGCTTGAGATATTGATCTAAGACCTAGACTTTAGATGGAACATCTGGGGTCTTGTGTCTGAACTCGTGCTGAGCCACAGACCCACAGAGGACGAGCTGTCACAGGCCCCCTTTGTTCTAGAGATCACATCCACCCATTTGTGGTATTTGAAAACTCTCAGAAAAGTTGGCATAAAGTTTGCTTTGAGATGTTGGCGAGCACATCCTTCTTCTACCATCCCTGGTTAGAATGGCGTTCTCTCTCACCTATCCACGCTGCAGATGAGGGTGAAGGAGAAGTAAGACCATTTAAAACATGCATTGCAGCAAACCAACGTGGCATATGTATACCTGTGTAGCTAACCTGCATGCTGTGCACGTGTACCCTAGAACTTAAAGAATAAAAAAAACAAACAACAAAAAAACATGCGTAACCAACACACAAAACCCTACACATCAAAACAGCACTGGTCTCTTTCAGAGCCTTCCCTCAGCAAGCCCTGCCCTGTCCCCAGAGATGAGACCGTGACACATGACAGTACTTTAGAGAGTTTTAGCAACGCTTTGTTTTTTGAGCCCATGTGCTCAAATGAGCTCATTCAAACCCCAGAGTAGGGGCCTGAATGACTGGACCTTCAGACATCAGTGCTGGCCCAGAAGGTTCCAGATCGGCACTGGGAGTCTCCCGGGAAGGAACTGCTGAGTACTTTCCAGTTAATGAAGGTCCGAAGTCTCAGCTGGTACATTGTCAAAATGGATGATGTACTCAAATGTAAATGTTTTGTGTTAAAGAATTATCATCTACTTCTTATTTCTTGTGAATTTCTTTTGCCCTTTTTCATTCCTGTCTTCTTACAGGGCGTTTTTGACTGCCGCAAGTGGGGTCAGTTGCTCCTCTCCTCAGATTTGTGAAATGCCCCTGTTACCGTATTTAACATTTTATTGTAATAGTCTGTTTTTTGGTATCTCTTTTTCCATTGTTTGGCACAGCGGCGGGTACTCCATAAATATTTGATTTTAAAAATGCCAAATAAATGAATTCTGTCTGTTTCTCTCATAAATTTCTGAGAAGGTAATATAGCAAAGTATTGTGCATATGTCTCTCTCTTTGAACGAACTAATTAAAATCTTTAAAAACGATTTTTTTTTTTTTTTGAGACAGGGTCTCACTCTGTCACCCAGGCTAGAGTGCAGGGTCATGATCACGGCTCACCCCAGCCTTGATCTTTGGGGCTCAAGCAATTGTCCCACCACAGCCTCCTGAGTAGCTGGGACTACAGGCATGTGCCACCATGCCCAGCTATTTTTTGTATTTTTTTAGAGGTAGGATTTCACCTGGTTGCCCAGGCTGGTCTCAAACTCCTGGGCTCAAGTGATCCACCTGCCTCAGCCTCCCAAATTGCTGAGATTACAGGTGTGAGCCACCACGCCTGGCCAAATTAAAATCTTTTAAAATCACAAAAGAATTCCAACAATGTAGAAAAATACCAAAATGAAAGTTAAACTCATGCCAAATCCTGCCACTCAGAGATTAAAATGAGTATACCACTGAACTCACTGGAGGCCTCAGTATGTGTCCATCATGCCTCCTAGCTTTTATTTATTTTTTATTATTTTTTTGGAGACAGGGTCTTGCCATTGTGTCCTGGCTGGTCTCAAACGCTTGGGCTCAAGTGATCCTCCCGCCTTGGCCTCCCAAAGTGCTGGGATCACAGGTGTGAGCCATAATGCCTGACCTTTAGTGACATTTATTTATTTATTTATTTATTTATTTATTTATTTATTATGTTTTGTGAGATGGAGTCTCACTGCGATGCCCAGGCTGGAGTGCAGTGGTGCAATGTCAGCTCACTGCAACCTCTGCTTCCCGGGTTCAAGTGATTCTCCTTCCTTAGCCTCCCAGGTAGCTAGGATTACAGGCACATGCTGCCACGGCTAATTTTTGTATTTTTAGTAGAGATGGAGTTTCATCATATTGGCCAGGCTGGTCTCGAACTCCTGACCTCAAGCGATCAGCCCACCTCAGCCTCCCAAAGTGTTGGGATCACAGGTGTGAGCCATGGCGCCCAGTCCTGAATGGCTTTTAAATAGTCGCTGCTGTGCCACCCCTTTCCCCCACCCCACAAGCTGTCATTGTGAATGTCAGCATGTGCCCAGATTTTTGCTTTGAGAATGTAAAAAAAAACTTTTCTTTTTTGTTCCAGAACCTTCCATGACTGGATCACAGGGAAAAACCGACCGAGCTCAGGAAGCCTAATCCAGGTGGTAACTACGGAAGGAAGGACGGAACTCACCCCAGCATATTTTTAGGCCTCATCTCAGTGCCTGTGAGGGGCCTGCCAGAAAAGTCACTAACCCGTTTCAGTGTGGCCTTGTCCAGCCTTGTGTTTTCTGTAACCCCTGTTTGTGGAACGAGATAATGAGTCCTATTTTTCTCTCACGTAACGTGCATTTGCTCTCCTAGGACAGTGTAATACGTTTATGTGAAGTGAAAACATGCAAGATGGGCGGCCTGCAAATAGCATCCGTCAATCTGTGTTAACTGCATAGGGAAGGCTCTGCATAGTCCCTGCTATGGCGGTGTCATGTTGGATCACTTTTGAGACTGTTTATCTGTCCTTGACAGTGGCTGTCATCTTGACTGCTTTGTTGATTTGTTGGTATTGGGGACATTTGAAAGGCTGAGTTATTTTTGAATGTCATGTTTATGTCATAGATGTAGTTTTCGCAGCCTTGAATTAAACTGCCTTAAAACTCCTTTTGTGGTATAAGCAAAACCCCATGGACCCTGTCCTGGTATCCTTTTCCTGTGTGGTTGCCAAGTGTCCTCTGGCCTAGGGTTAAGTGTGCAAGATGACTACTTGTGAGTATTCAGAATGTTGTTCCTAATACATGCACTTGTTGTCCGTCTTCTTTAATCAAATCACGTCTTATATACAGCAGTCAGAGATGAGTACACTAGAATCATGGATTGCTGGAGGTCTTTTAATCTGGTGTTCTCAGAAGGGGGTGGATTTAAATCCTGAAATAAATATTTCAACACAAGAACACAGGCCTGATTCTGCCTTGGACGTGTCAAAATCTGGGGGTGATGGGATGGCCCTATGCATTTAGAAGCAACTCTCCACATATAGCCAATATAGGCTGTCCTGGTCAAGAACTAGCAGTGATTTAATCCAACCTCATCATTTTACAGATGAGGAAACTGAAGCCCAGAGAGACAGTACCTTGTTGCCAGTAAGCGGCAGAGCTAAACCCAGATCTCTAGGCACCACACAGTTACTGTTTTTAAAGGCCTTTACCACGTATTTTCTTTCTTTTTTTAGTGAGGTGAAATTCACATAAAATTAGCCATTTTAAGGCTAAGTTTAAGTATTAAAAGTTAAATAGGTGAGCAGTTTAGTGGCATTTAGCACATTTACAGTAGTGCATAATCAGCACCTCTGTCTAGTTCCCAAACATTTTCATCACCGTAAAAGAAAATCCAGCGCTGTTTAAGCAGTTCCTCCCCATTCCCACTCCCTAACCCTTGCAACCCCCAATCTGTATTTTGTTTTTGTGAATTAATTCTGGGTATTATCATTTTTTTGAGACAGTCTTGCTCTTTCTTGCCCAGGCTGAAGTGCAGCGGCATGAATATGACTCACTGCAGCCTTGACTTCCTGGGCTCAAGCAATCCTCCCTCCTTGGCCTCTTGAGTGCCGAGACTACAGGCACGTGCTGCCACGCCCAGATATTTTTTAAAGTTTTTTTGTAGAGATAGGGTCTTGCTATGTTGCCCAGGCTGGTCTCAAACTCCTGGACTCAAGCAATCCTCCTGCCTTGTCTTCCCAAAGTGTTGGTATTACAGGCGTGAGCCATTGCACCTGGCCTGTTCTGGGTATTTTGTATAAATGGAATCGGTATGTGACCTTTTGTGTCTGACTCCTTCCACTTAGCTTAATGTTTTCCATGTTCTTCCCCATTGCGTCATGTATCAGTTCTTTATTTCTTTTTGTGGCGTAGTAATATTCCATTATATGTAGCCACTGCAATTTTGTTGATCTACTGATCTGTAGATAGACATTTGGGCTGTTTCCACCTTTTGGCTGTTGTAAGCATTGCTGCTGTGAACATTGATGTGTAAGTGTTTGTGTATCTGTTTTCAATGATTTTGGATATACCTAGGAGCAGGATTGTTCCATCATGTGGTAACTTCTATGCTTAACCTTCTTTTTTTTTGAGATGCAGTCTTGCTCTATTGCCCAGGCTAGAGTGCAGTGGTGTGTGTGATCTCAGCACACTGTAACCTCTACCTCCCAGGTTGAAGCAGTTCTCCTGCCTCAGCCTCCTGAGTAGCTAGGACTACAGGTGTCCACCACCACACCTGGCTATTTTTTTTTTTTTTTTTTGGTATTTTTAGTAGAGACGGGATTTCACCACGTTGGCCAGGCTGGTTTCAAACCCCTGACCTCCAGTGATCCACCTGCCTTGGCCTCCCAAAGTGCTTAGGATTACAGGTGTGAGCCACTGCGCCTGGCCTCTATGTTTCTTTTGAGAAGTCTCTTGATTCTTGCCACTATGAGGTTATTTTATCCAACTATTACAGGAAAGAAAATGGGAGCTCAGAAGGTCGGACTGGTTGTTCAAAGTCACCCAGCTAGAGAGCTGCGCAGCTGAGACTAGTACACAAGTCTAGCTGTTGAGAGCACCCTGAGCACATTACCTCATGCTGTACCTTGCGTGTCTTCTTGTTGTTTTCATTTTTCAGATGAAGGAACAGTTCCACACACTAAGAGACTTGCCGAGGGTACAGTTAGTTTCAGGAGAGCTGGTAGTTTTCATTCCGTATAGAACTGGACCTGATAATTATTGATTATCCTAATAAATGCACTTCATTTATTGTGCTTTTTTTTTTTTTTTTTTTTTGCGCGACAGAGTCTCGCTCTGTTGCCCAGGCTGGAGTACAGTGGCATGATCTCGGCTCACTGCAACCTCCGCCTCCCTAGTTCAAGCGATTCTCCTGCCTCAGCCTCCCGAGTAGCTGGGGACTACAGGCATGCGCCACCACACCCAGCTAATTTTTGTATTTTTAGTAGAGATGGGGTTTCACCACTTTGGCCAGGATAGTCTCAATCTCTTGACCTCGTGATCCACCTGCCTCGGCCTCCCAAAGTGCTGGGATTTACAGGCGTGAGCCACCGCGCCTGGCCTGTCTTCTTTAATCAAATCACATCTTATATCCAGCAGTCGTAGATGAGTATGCTAGAATCATGGACTGCTTGGAAGTCTTTTTATCTGGTGTTTACCTAGTGATCTGTTGGTAGAAATTTGGGTTGCTTATTAAATATTAATTATTTTTAATTATTGAATATCAGATCTGGTTTCTACATGGAATGAAGACTACCAGTTCTCCTGAAACTAATCGATTATTGAGGTATGTTTCTTTTCCTTCCCTGGTGATGTGCAAAGAGAATGAAAAGGGAAAAGGGGCCAGGAAGGAGATGTTTTTTCTCCTTCATACATTCAACGGCTAATCTGAGTACCAGCTGTGTACAAGGCACTAACCTAGATGCCTGGGACACATAATGAACTAAGTAGACAAAGGCTCCTACCCTTAATCATTGAGTTTTATTCTAGTTGGGGGAGAGGGTGACAGATAATAAACAAGAGTCATAATATGAATTCATTGGAGAGTATGTGAGAAAGGCGAACTGTGGGGAGAAGAGCGCAAGGTAAGTGGGTGAAGGAGTGTTGGGGAGAATGGGATTGCAATTTCAGAAATGGTAGTGGTATGAACTGAATGTTGGTATCTCCCCCAAATTTGTATGTTCAAGTCCTCACTCTAATGTGGCTGTATCTGGAGATGGGGCCTCTAAGGAGGTAACTAAGATGAAATGAGTTCGTAAGGATGGGCACTGATTCAACAGTATTAGTGTTCTTACAAGAAGAGACACGAGTTCTCCCTTTCACTTTCTTCCCACACGCACACACTGAGGAAAGGCTGTATGAGGACACAGCAAGGAGGCTGCCGTTCACAAGCTGAGAAGAGAGCCCTCACAACAGATGGAATTGGCTGGAGCCTCAATCTTGGACTTTCAGCCTCCAGAACAGGGCAAATGTGTTGTTAAGCCACCCACTCCATGGTGTTTTGTTATGGCAGCCCACATTAATACAGGCAGTGATAGAATATCTTATGTGAGAAAGTGACATTTGAACACATCTGAAAATGTAGAAGGCAGCCAAGGGCATCTGAGGTAAGGACGTTTTAGACAGAGGAACCAGTCATTGCAGAGGGCCTGAGGCAGGCGTGTACCAGGCGGGGTGAGGAGCACAGGGAGGCTGGGTTGGCTGGGGCAGAGTGAGTGGAGCAAACAGAGGGGCCGTTTCAGGAGATAAGATCAGACAGATGATTGTGTAGGGTAGGGGTTCCCCAACTTTCTAGGCCCATAGTGCCCTTAGTGTCGTAGCAATTTTTTATGATGCCCCTACGTCAAAGAAAACTAATGGTTTGGATTTACCAGTGGTTAGGTTCTAACAATTTTATAGTAGTAACATGACTGATATTGCTGTATAACCTAGAACATAGAAAGTACCCTGTAGTGTCCCTGTGAATGCTGCCTTGGAGTGCCTTGGTGCACAGTTTGGGAATAGCAAATGTAAGGGGGTGTTGGGCATTTCAAGGATTTGGTTTTGGATTCTGGGAACTACTGCAAGGATTTTGAGCAAAAGAGTGACATGATATATTTTAAAAGATTGCTCTGGCTATTGTGTTGAGGATAGTACTGAGGCTTTTGCTAGAATCCAGGCAAGAAATGACAGTGGTTAGGTTCGTAGCTGTGGAGGTCGTGAGAGGAGAATTGGGAAATGGTGGATATTTTGAAGATAGATTCAAGAGGATTTCCTAGTGGATTTAATGTGAGAGTAAGAGAGAAAAGAGTCGGTATCTCCCAAAGTTTTTGACATGAGCAAATGGAAGGATTAAGTTAGCAAGTGTGATAGAGAAGGCTGTGGATAGAGCAAGTATTGGGAGTATCTGGAGTGTTGTTTTGGACATAGAGGTTTGCTGTGTTAATACCCCAGTGGAGATGTCATGTGGGCAGTTGTATTAAGTCTGGTGTTCAAGAGAGAGAGAGAGATCTAGGGGTCCTGAGAGATCTGGGGGTCCTGAGCAGTTAAAGCTATGAGACTAGGTGAGATCACTAAGGGAATGGTCAGGGTCCAGAAGACAGAAGCCGCACAGTATTGTGAATGAGGTAAGTGTAATATAAAGAATTATTGAGTGGCAAGGATTAATTCTAAAAGGCTAATGAGAATGCTGAAGAATATTCTTGGGCTGAGGGACAGTACTTGAGGAACAAATTCGGAAGACAAGTCCCTCCCCAAGGCTGGGACCTGAGCTTCACTGGAGAAGGTATGGCTGTGGCTCACTGGACAGCAGAGTTTGCTGAGTTCTCTGGGTGTGTGTTGGTCTACAGCCACTGGGGAAGCAGAAAGCACCCTGCCAGGGTCCATGAAGTGCTGCTGGATGTCCCTCACATGTACATGGTAGCCATGTGTCAGGAACCATATGGAAACACACCAGAACCAGGAAGGGAAGCCCCCTCCTCCAACACTGTTGGCAAAACTGAACATTGTATCAGCTGTGCAGGAGAAATGCCTACAGAGTCCAGTTCCATTATTGCAGAACAGGCAATGAAGGGTGGCTTTGGAGCAGAGAGGAAATAAATTGGAAACTGGCAATATACTAAATATGTGAGAGGAGAAGAAGATAACTTCTCTGATAATAGGGAGAAAAAAAAATCAACAAAAGGGCACCGATAGGGAACAACCAGTAAAGTAGGAGAAAAAGTAAGAATGTGGTGTCCCAGGAGTAAAGTGAAGAAAGTATCAAGAAGGGAGGGAATTAGCAGTGTTGAATGCTGTGAGAAGTCAAGTAAGGCAAAGGCTATAAAAACTGACCATTGGACTCAGCTGTGGGGAGGTCCTTGTGATCCTGACAAACAGTTACAGTAGAGTAATGGGGAGTAGGGAAGATTCGAGTGGGGTTATGAAAGCATGAGAGA